AGACTGGCCATCAGTTTGTGGGGTGAAAAGCAGTACTAAGGTCTAATCGAGTGCCAAAGCTTCTTGGAAAGATTTCCAAAATCGGGAAGTAAATTGAGGACCTCTATCAGAAATTATGGATATTGGAATTCCATGCAATCGCACAATCTCATCAATATATAATTGAACATATTTATCAACATTTATGTTGTCTTTACTGGAATGAAATGAGCTGATTTCGTCAGTCTATCAACAATAACCCAGATAGAATCATACCCCTTAGCAGTGCGAGGTAACCCGGTGACAAAGTCCATTGTGATATTTTCCCACTTCCATTCTGGTATTTCTAACCTTTGGTGTAGCCCAGCTGGCTTTTGGTGTTCTGCCTTAACTTGCTGGCATGTCAAACAGCGTGAGACAAAGTCTGCCACATCCTTTTTCATGCCATCCCACCAATACAGTTGTTTCAAATCTTGATACATTTTAGTTGCTCCTGGATGCACGGTATATGAAGAATGATGAGCCTCTTCCATGATAAGTCGTTTCAAGTTTTCCTCGTGTGGCACGCAAATTCTACCCTTGCACTTTAATATTCCTTCCTGGTCAATTTCAAACTCAATGTTACTTCCAGCTATAACTGCTTCTTTTAACTTGCATAATTTTGGATCTGAAATTGAGCGCTCTTAATCTGATCCATTAAAGAAGAACGAACTTGTACATGAGCCAGAAATGGTCCCTTATCAATAATTTCAAACTTGACTCCACTCTGCTCAAGTTTATGAATTTCTTGCACCAAAGGCCTCCTTGTCGAAGTCATGTGCACCAAGCTACCCATCGATTTTCTACTTAAGGCATCAGCCACCACATTTGCCTTACCAGGATGGTAAAGAATTGTACAGTCATAATCCTTCAGTAACTCCATCCACCTTCTTTGTCTAAGATTAAGATCTTTTTGCTCAAAAATGTACTTTAAACTCTTATGATCAGTATAGATTTCACATGTCTCACCATAAAGATAGTGACGCCAAATTTTTAACGCAACAAAAACAACTGCTGCCATCTCTAGGTCATGAGTTGGGTAGTTTTGCTCGTGTTTCTTAAGTTTCCTTGAGGCATAAGCAATAACTCGTCCATGCTGCATTAGAACACAGCCTAAACCCACACGAGAAGCATCGCAATAAACTACATACCCTCCATTGCCTGATGGTAAACTCAAAACTGGTGCCGAAGTCAAACACTCCTTTAACTTTTGAAAAATGTCTTCACACTTGTTACTCCATTCAAATTTCACATTCTTTTGAGTTAATCTTGTCAGTGGAGCTGCTATTTTAGAGAAATCCTTGACAAAACGACGATAATATCCTGCAAGACCTAAGAAACTGCGAATTTCTGTAACAGTTGTTGGCCTTGGCCAATTTTGCACCGCTTTTACTTTGCCTGGGTCCACTTGATACCATTTTTAGAAACAACATGTCCTAAAAAGGTAACTTTATTAAGCCAAAATTCACATTTAGAGAATTTGGCATAAAGTTGTTGTTCCCTCATCGTCTGTAAAACCATCCGTAAATGATGTTCATGCTCCTCTAGGCTCTTTGAGTATATCAGAATATCATCAATAAAAAACAATCACAAACTTATCAAGAAACGGTCTAAACACCCGATTCATTAGATCCATAAAAGCTGCTGGTGCATTAGTTACCCAAATGACATTACTAGGAATTCATAATGACCATATCGGGTTCTAAATGCAGTCTTAGGTATATCCTCTTTCTTGATCTTTAATTGATGATAACCTGAACGTAAATCTATTTGGAAAAAATACTGAGCTCCTTGCAACTGATCAAAAAGATCATCTATACGAGGCAATGGGTACCTGTTTTTCACCGTCACCTTATTAAGCTGTCGATAATCAATACAGAGTCTTAATGACCCATCCTTTTTCTTCACAAAAAGTACTGGTGCTCCCCAAGGAGATGTGCTAGGTCGGATAAATCCCTTATCTAACAGTTCTTGCAATTGAGTCTTTAGTTCTCTCAGCTCAGAAGGTGCCATTCTATAAGGTGGAATAGAAATTGGTTGAGTGTCCGGAACTAAATCAATGGCAAATTCAATCTCTCGATCAGGGTGGCAATCCAGGTAACTCTTCTGGAAAAACGCAGGAAATTCCCGAATAACAGGAATTTGATCCAAACTAACAGTGGGTTTATCAATGTCCCTTATCACCGCTAAAAAACTTGACAACCCTTCTGCAGTAATTGTTGGGCTTTTAAAGCTGGAAATAAGATTAGTAGGTCTTTCTATAAAACTTCCTTGCAATATAAAAGAAGTTTCACCTGGAATATCAAATTTCACTACTTTTAAGTGACAATCAACGGTTAGCATAGCAAGAAGCTAACCAGTCCATGCCCAGGATGACATCGAAATCAATCATATCAAGCATCATCAAATCAATAAGGGTTCTCTGCCCTCAAGAGACACTTCACAAGACTTGTACACATAAGAAACAATTAAAGATTCCCCTACTGGAGTACCAACTACAAATGACTTATCAAGTTGGATAGGTTCTTTACCCAACCTCTTAGCAAAATAAGCGGACACATATGAATGAGTGGATCCAGGATCAAATAATGCATAAGCTTGATTAGAACACACAGTTATAATACCTGTAACAACAGCATTTGAGGCTTTAGCATCCTGTCTTGTCATGGCATAAACTCTCGCCTGCCTTTGTCCTAAGGAAGATTGTCCCCGCTGACCATTCCCCTTCCAAATTTACCCCTGCTAGCTGAAGTAGAAGCAGTTCTAGCAGGTGGGATTGATGAGGAAGTAGGGCGAGGAGAAGGTTGAATTGATCCGTGACTTGACACAGACTGTAGATATGGACAATTTCTTCTCAAATGGCCCGTCTGTCCACATTCAAAACATGCACCAGACACTCTATAGCACGGTCCCGAATGATATTTTCCACAACTATTACAAGGGACTCTAGCATAACCCGATTGATTCGGCACTGACTGGGCTCGAGGTCTCACATTACCAGAATTGGGTCTCACAAAGGGGAGTGCTTACTGATGGTGAACCAAATGATCTAGGCTTAGATTGTGAGGCACGAAAGTGAGATTGACTTGAAAATTGATGACTCTGGAAGAAGAACCAGGAAATTTCTCATCATGCTCCCTCTTGCGTTTCTTCAGAAATTGCTTCTTCTGCCTTATGTCGATTCTCAATTCAATGCACTAAAACAATCTCAGCATAGGTGATATCACGACTCAACATAGGTGCTATGTTGTCATGTATGTCAACTGGTAATCCTTGTACAAACCTGCTAATTCGTTCGTTCTTTTTCAGTCGGTATAATATGAGGAGCAAAAAGAGGATAATTCAGTAAACTTCTGGTCATATTCTACTATAGACATTCCTTTACTACACTTTAAAGTCAGAAACTCTCAACTTTTGCGTCTCTAGTGCTCTGAGGCAAATAGCGATTTAGAAATG